GGGACCACTAGCCCGGCCGGGCCAAAATAATAATAATTATTATTATTATAATTTCTTCTTTGCCAAAAGTTGTTCAGTTTAGTTTTTCTGCATAACATGTTTCTTTTTCTCAGATTTTTTTTATTTTTTTTTTTGCTGGGACCTCCTACGGTCCTTGCACGGTCGGGCAGCCTGCAAGCAAGGTGACCCGGACGGCCCGGCTGGTAGCCTAGCATTAGAGTCTAATTAGACAATTAATTGAATTCATTTGTTATTTCTTTTAATAATGAGGACGATACAGTAAATGCCACTAAATGGCGATTTACTTTTAACGATCAAATTGAATTCCGTTTCTGATGGGAATAGAAATAAAACTCATTTGCATCTGAGAAGAGGTTTTATTTTCATACTCATGTCCAATGATGATTTTCATTACCATTATTTTCTTTTCTGGAGAGGGTGGAGACAGGGAGAGGGGGGAAGGGGGGTGGGTGGGGCCTATAGAGGAAAATTTGCCTGGGTCCTTCGCAGCATCACAGCAACTGGAACAAAAAATGGTCCTAGGCAAGATGAGAAGCATGGCCTCGGCGCATTCACGGATAATGCGCACCCCTATTGATGGAGAAACGATCCACATTTTTAGAAACAAAAAAAGGCATGTGCTATGCAGCATGCTATGATGGAAAGTAGCCTGTGCTATGCAGCGTGCTATGTGGTGTGCTGGGTAGTACGCTCCTGCTGCGCTCTGTTATAACAACCGCATTTCTAAACGCCGAGGTCGGCTTATGACTGCAGGTGAAGCGTACTCTGCAGTATGGCCCAAACTGTGCTATGCAGCGTGCACCAAAGTGTGCTATGCTGCGTGCTATGCAGTACCCACCAAAGTGCGCTATGCTTCGTGCTATCCGGCGTGCTATGCTGCGTGCTATGCATTATCGACCAACGTTTGCTCTGATGCGTGCTATGCTACGTGCTATGCTGCTTGCTATGTTGCTTGCTACTGGTAGGCAGTACGCACCAAAGTGTACCATGCTGCGTGCCATGCTGCGTGCGATTGCATGCTATGCTGCATGCTATCCTGCATGATATCCTGCATGCTATGCTGCGTGTCACGCGGTCTTCTGTTGTGGGCCTCCTGTTCCTCGGCTGCTTAACACAAAGAAGCTACAGAGCAAACAGCACGGCGACTAAGGACGCTGCACAGAACACTTCACATCAGCGAGTGGGTGAAACTCCGACGAAACAGTCTGTCTGTCACACACCCTCGTTGGTCGCACAGCGCGAGGCGTGGCACGCTGCACAACACGACTAAGGACGCTGCACAGCGCATAGCACGCTGCATAACATTCTTCATTTACACAGAGCAGCACTTTGTTTTTTATTTCTCTTTTCACTTACACAGTGCAGCACTTCGTTTTTTTTTTTCTCTTTTCACTTTCCGATTTCACTTTATTTCAGGGCCTAAACATTTTGATTATTCCATAGCAACTCCGCACTGAATTTAGATTTTCATTTAGACAACGATTTTACTATCTATTTAACTGATCACCGCGTCGATACTGTAAGTAAGCAGTTACAGATAATCCTGCTAATGTAATAGGAATCAAGCCAAGTACTAAACCAGAGAGAAGAGGTTCAATGGTTCACCATAGTTGGTTTTGTATTTGAGGTGAAAAAAATTAAATAATACAAATCCTAACTCAATCCTGCATCAATATTCAAGATTTTTGGGATTCGTTTTGAAGATTGAGAACATTCTCAATTGACTATGAAAAACTTTTGGGCCTTTTTTTTTTTTTTTTTTTTTTTTTTTTTTTTTGGGCTTTTTATTTTACACATCTAGATGTGTATAAGAGACAGCTTCTTAG